CACCGAGGAATCCGTCCGAGGTTCGCAGTTTTCTCGGATTAGTTGGTTACTACCGCAGGTTTATCGAGGGCTTCTCCAAGATTGCCCTCCCTCTTTCCCAGCTGACGAGGAAGTTTGTGAAGTTCAAATGGACTGACAGATGTGAGGCGAGCTTTCAGGAGCTCAAGAGGAGATTGACTACAGCACCGGTGTTGACTATTCCCGATCCTTCTCGGAGTTTCACTATCTATAGCGATGCTTCGAGGCAGGGCTTGGGATGTGTCCTTATGCAGGACGGACGAGTCGTTGCGTATTCTTCACGTCAGCTTAAGCCCCATGAGCAGAACTATCCTACGCACGACTTACAGTTGGCCGCAGTCATTCACGCTTTGAAGATCTGGCGACATTATCTTTACGGCGGACGCTGCGAGATATTCACAGACCATAAGAGCCTACAGTACATCTTCACGCAAAAGGAGCTTAATATGAGGCAGCGTCGTTGGCTCGAATTGGTCAAGGATTATGATTGTTCTATCCAGTACCATCTGGGAAAGGCGAACGTCGTCGCTGATGCCCTAAGCCGAAAGGTGAAGGGTGACTTGACGTACGTCATTACACAGCAAAGTCCATTGATTCACGAGTTTGCCCGGATGCAGCTTCAGGCAATCGATGCACTTCCCGTAGCTGTCTCGGGGAGTACCAGTGCCAGTGTCAGTGCTATGCAGCTTCAGCCGACACTGAGAGAAAGAATCCGGCGAGAGCAGGCTTCTGACGAGTTTGTTCGTGTCATGGAGGCCAAGGTTCGCGCCGGAGGTATCCAGGATTTTCAGCTAGGCGCCGATGGTGCCTTGGAGTTCAGAGGCAGGATCGTGATCCCGAAGGTCGAGGCATTGCGGAAAGAGATTCTATCAGAGGCACATACCGCACCTTACTTGGCCCATCCCGGGAGCACGAAGATGTATCACGACCTGGAAAGGTCGTTCTGGTGGCGAGGTATGAAGAAGGACGTCGCCGAGTTCATTAGGAGGTGTCTTACCTGTCAGCAAGTCAAG